GAAGATAAGGAAGGGCTACTTTCTTCTCAGAACGAAACATGCACAGGGCACCAAATGAAACGAATAGGCAGCGGATTGAAAATAAACACAAGGAAATATTTTTTCACACAACACACAGTCAACCGTTAGAACTCCTTGCCAGAGGATGTTGAGAAGGCCAAGACTGTAACGGGTCAAAGAAGAGCTAGACAAGTTCATGAATGATAGGTCCATCAACAGCTACTAGCCAGGATGGGCGGGGGTGGTGTCTGTAGCCTCTGTTTGCCAGAAGCTGGGAATGGGCAACGGGATGGATCACTTGATGATACCCTGTTCTGTTCATTCCCTCTGAAGCACGTGGCATTGGCCACTGTTGGCAGACAGGATACTGGGCTAGATGGACCTTTGGTCTGACCCAGTCTGGTCGTTCTTATGATTATGGATGGGTGTTGAAGGAGCTGAGGATGAGGTGTGTGTGGGGGCTCAGGGGACCAGAGCAGGGGATTTCAGCGGAGCTGGGGGTGGGAGGGTGGGGTGCCTGGGAGCAGTAGACACTGGGGTGCACTGCAGGTTTGGGAATATGGGGGAGAATGGGAAATGGAAGGGCAGGTGCTGGGGGGCTGGTAATTGGGGGCAGTGTGGAATCTAGGGGAAAGAGGTATGGGGGGAGGGATGGAGGTGGGGTTCTGGGGCAGCCGGGGGAGACTGAGGGGCTGTGGGTGGTGGGGGAGCTAGGGAGAGGATGATATGGGGGGAGGGACAGAGGGGTGGGGCTCTGGGGCAGGAGGGGGGGCCTGGGGGCTTTCACAGGCTCACAGGGCTCGACCCCATGCCCCCCCACCCCCCATTTGGGGCTGGCCCCTTCTCCCTGCAGGCTCCCTGATGGGTGACCCGGCCGTGATGGTGACCCTGCTACCCAGCCTGCCCGAGGCTATACCAGGCCAGAGCTCGGCCGGGGAGTTCATCTTCCTACTGGACCGCTCCAGCAGCATGGGGTGCCCCATGGACGGCTGAGACCGCTCCCCCCAGCGCATCGACAGCGCCAAGGTACGGCCAGGCAGGAGACCACACTAGATGGGTCTGTGGAGGGGAGCAGTTCAGGCTGGCTGGGCCTGGGGAGGCAGAGCTGAGTGGGGGAGCAGCCCAGGCTGGTTGGGCCCGTGGGGGTGACACCATCTGTCTGTCCGTCCCCAGAAGACCCTGGTCCTGCTGTTGAAGAGTTTGCCCCTGGGCTGTTATTTCAACATCTACGGCTTTGGGTCTCGGTTCGAGTCCTTCTACCGGTGAGTCGGTGGGGGTCAGAGGGCGTGCTGCTGGCTGGGTTGGGGGCAGGGCTGGCTGGGGTCGGGGGCAGGGCTGGCAGGCGGTGGGGGTGGCTGGGGTCGGGGTATCTGGGGTCGGGGTGTCTGTGGGTTGGGGGCAGGGCTGGCTGGGGTCGGGATGTCCCTGGCTCCAGCTGTCCTGGCCCCTGACCCCTCGGCGCCCCCCGCAGGCAGAGCGTGGGATACACCCAACAGACCATGGCCAAGTCCCTGCAGCGCGTCAGGCAGCTCCAGGCCGACCTGGGGGGCACCGAGATCTTGGCACCACTACGATCCATTTACCGCAGCCCCTGCCGAGATGGGCACCCACGCCAGGTATCAGAGGCAGCTGCAGGGCATCCCCGGGGGCTCGGTGGGGGGCTGGAGCTGGGGGGTGCTGATGGGGGTCGCTTGCCGAGGGGCTGGGGGG